CCCCAAAACCCCAAAACCCCAAAACCCCAAAACCCCAAATAAATTTTAAGTCATTGAAAAATTAAATGAATAGGAGATACGAGAGTTGTTGAATGAAAAGTTCAGAATGTCCTCAAAATGTTGATGAGGTATCGAGTAGTAGCAGGGAGATTATAGAAGAGTATCAGTTCCCTAGCCAACACTCAAAGTCACTCTTCTCAGATCCTTCTGAGATAGAAATAATTGAAATGGAAATTAGAACCTCTCAGTACTCTCATAATGAGTCCATGCTTGAAAATTATGAAGATAAATTCAAGTCGACTGAATCGATGTCAATACCTGCATCAGAAGGTGGACGTGTAAACTTGATTCGAGAAGCTAAGGCACGTATTGATGCTACTAAAAACAAAGCTTATTTTAAGATGCCAAAACCTTTGATGAACAACAGTGATTTCAACATGCACTTTTCACCTAGAGAGATTACCCCTCCTTCATCAGATAGCGAAGAAATTGACAAAGCTGGAGCAAAAACTATTCATGAAGAAACCAAGGAATTCAGGTCTGGGAACCGTAGAGGGAAGAAGGTCTTTGAAATGTTACCTAAAAAGAGCAATTCATCGAGTTCTAAACCTCACCATATTGGAGTATCTGATAGTGATCAGGTATCCAGAGAAGCATCAGGCCAAGCTCATTCTAGAACTCCTCCCAAAAATGGGCTGGAGCAGAGCTGGAGCAAGCCGATTGAATATCAACAAGAAATAGCAGAACATCAGTCTCAAGGTAAGGAATTTCAAAACATTTGGGGGGAGTACTAGTTAGGCTTCATACTTGTAGTGTGGCAAATTAACGAGTGTTAGTAATATATCGTTTTCTGGAGCAAATGATGCTATATATGTTTACATAATCAGTTGTTGAATACAAAATGAATCTAACTCAATTTTAGAGCATAGCCAAAAGCACGGTCAGACTTTGGTTAAGTCCAAAACCATAGATGAGTCAGCAAAATTCCAAAATTATGGGAATTTTCCTGAATCACAAACTCCAAATAAAAATTCTAGAAGGAGTAGCAAGTCAAGACGTGATCATAGCCATGGTAAATCAATTATTTTACCTAATTAGACTCTGGAGAAAATCAAAACATTAGGTGAATCAAATAATATCCTGAGCGATAAAGCCAATCAGCAAGCATCTTATTTAAACACAAACCCAACTCCCAAGCCTGCTTCCATGCAAGATATCCACAACGACCATGTCCTCATCTCTCAGCTCACCGAGGCCCAACAGAGAATACAAGAACAAGACTCTCTGATAGTGACTCTGCGATCAGACATCAAGCAGCTCCAAGATCTGCTTGAACAGAAAGACAACCAGTTCAAGTCACTGCACACTCAAAAAGTGGCAGAGGCGACTGAAATGAACAAGTTCTACCAGGACAGACTCAAGGCCAAGCGCATGGCTGGAGCAGGTGAGACTCCTCGCATCCAGATTGAAAACCAGATGATTCGCGAGCAGGTCCGGATGTTGCTGGACGATGCCAAAGAACGCACCCACGACATCGGACGGCTCAAGAAACTCATAGGCATGTACGAATTACAGAAAGAAGAGTTCGAGCATAAGTTCACTCTGATGCGCAACAAAGAAATCAAGCTGGAGGCAGAACTCGACCAGGCAGCTGAGAAGTACAAAGCAGAGGAGGCGAAGAATAGACAGTTGAAGATGGATTATGATGAGTTGAAGTTTCAGATGCAGAGAGATCAGATATTTAAAGATATTAAGATTCCAAATTACAAATCAGATTCAGACTTCTATGATGCAGCGGATGATTTTCTTGCTGATAAAGTTTATAATCCTCCTAGTTTTAAAACAATGGAAATGGATTACCCTAATATAAATCCAGTATTTATCAACGACTCAAATAATATTGAGACAAGACCAGATGACATGACAGATGCTCAAAGCGCATTGAGTGATTTTCTATACAGAAAGAATATGGACTCCACAATGGCTGACTTCCTCAGATGGGATCCTAAGAAAGGTGGCTACACAGCTGTTAAAACCAGAAATAACATTGCCCCTTCGCACAATAAAACTAGGAGTGTAAGTAATCCTCCAGTTAGAAGTCAGCATACTTTCCGTTTCGATCCTCAAGTTTATTAAGTATATCCCTAATTTTGCTCAACTATTTTTTATTCTGGCGGGGTTTTGGGGTTTTGGGGTTTTGGGGTTTTGGGGTTTTGGGGTTTT